TATAGATATGTAAGATCTTGGATACATACTAAGATAAAACGTGTTTTATGTACGGTGATTTGCGACACAATGCATGATTCGAACCTATGATATAGCGCATTTATTATTTTTTTCTGTAAATTCATGTTATGATATTTTTTTCAGTTTATTTTCATTTTACTTATTTCTATCTCGAATAAATGAAGCAAGTTAGATTTTGGAATCTGCTTCACCTGAAGATGGCCCGACCTCCATCAGACTGTCTCAGGATAGTCCAATCTCGACCATTGATCGAGATCAGCATTTTCTGAAATGGTCAACACTCGAAAAATAGTTTTTAAAAAAATTATTTTTAAAACGTATATTTCATATGTTCAATCACGTTGTTTATGTAAGGCTCTGTATGCATAAAAAAAACGGTGAATGACTAGTCAGTATGTAACCAATGCAATAATGATGTCGCTGGTTGTTTTTTTCAAGATCTTGTGAAAGGATAATAGTGAATGCTATAATTTCCATGATCTTGACAAGATCTTAGGTACAGATTTATCAGATATAACCAAGATCTTCACATACAAATTATCTTTTCAAGATCTTATCAAGATCTTGCTTATCGGTCCCAAGATTTCAAGATCTTGCTTACAAGATGTTCGACTAGGGTATATGATTGTTCAATTTTTTCATGCTTCAAGAGAAGTATTCTAAAATCTGAGAATATTATGAAAAATACATCTCTCTTTGGGTTGAAATCTGGTGTCATTTGATCCTAGATGACTATGAAAAGTTGTAGAAATGGACCACGAAAAAGATGTTCATCTGAATATATTCATGATGAATAGCTTCTTCGAACCTATTAAATATTACACTGATAGACATCTTCAACGTTGTTCTATCTAATGGTGAAAATCGAAAGTTATTCAAAAAATCGTAGTTAGTATTTTAATTGAAATACAAGAATAAAAGCTTTTATTTGAACTGCTGTTAAAAGAATCAATTACACGTGAATAAACATGTTTGTCTTTTCTCGATAAAAAGTGTACTATTCTTTAAAAAATCTTACTTTTTGGAGAAATATGAAATGACTATGAAGCCTCGACGATGATACATAGTTATAAGCTAATAATAAGCAAACAAGAATATCTAAAAACGTGTTTAAATGGTCCTGCAGTTCGTTTTACGTTTGATCATTATCACGTCCGTTCAAAAAATGTTCAAAACTAACTACTTTCATTATAAAAGGCACGCGGAAGCGCTCAAAAAAAAGTAAATTTTTCATTTGGCAAATGTTCAAAAAGTTTTCTCTCACTGACATATATAAATTATGCATGCAATGATGACTGTTTGTATACAAAATACATTAAAATATTGCAAAGAAGAAAAGTTTGCACGTTTTCCAGATACAAAAGTTGACTTTGTAAGCGTATTCACACACTTTTTTATGATGAAAGCAGTTGGTTTTGACATTTACTGCATAGGCGTGAGTACACTCAAATGAGAGCTGTATTTAGGATGTTGAATCACATTTTCACAAATTCTTGTGATGCTTTATCAGAAAGTGAAAGTCGTTTTTTTTTTCGAAAATTTTTGAAGCATTCCGGATAAACAGGGAGGCTCATTTAACAAGCGTCTTCAGATAGATACGACGGTTTGTATAATTCACAATTGTGATCGTATATCTCCATTTTGTTTCATATCTAATCGTATTGCTTTGTTATATGACTCTGAAGATATAAGAATATCATACTGAGCTATACAAAACTCGACAGTATTTCACAAGTACGTAGAGATTCCATATTTATCGTTCTAGGCATATACATTACAATCACTATTTTATTTCTATGAGATCATACAAAGTTACGAACTACTTCAAGACTATCTCGAAGTACAGCAAAATTAATAATAATCATTAATTTCTGTAGATTTAGTGGTGTTTTTGAGAAAAAAAAGATACTATCGTAAGGAGTTGAGAAAATTCTTCAAATATCGTAGTATCTTGCAATTGCTCTATGCCCATGGCAAATGGATATTAAACTACGATTTATAGATCTCTATATTCGATATTTAAGTTTTGTATTCCGAATAAAAGTAGAAAAATTTCTACAAACATGTTCAGATATTCTTCTCGCTGTTTCTATTTGAGCATATTCATGTTCATTCAGAAAGTCATGAACCTAGCTCTTTTCATTATCATAAAAAATACACAGGAAATGGTTTTAAAAAAAGTAATATTTCTATATGGAAAGCGTCTAAAAAGCTTTTCTTAATATTTTATACACATATCACGCGCAAAAAGAATGATTTTCATTTGCAAAGTACATTAAAATATTGCGCAAAAACGTTTCTACGCTTTCCAGATGCGGAAACTGTGTAATCTAATCATCCTCATGAACTGACTATGAGGAAATTAACTGCTTTTTTTTTGGTGTTAGTGTTTAGATAGGAACCACATTTAGGATGTTTAAACACATTTTCAGAAATTCTTATTTGCTTAGGTAACACATGATTATATCACATAGAAGAATACGAGAAAAGAAATCATGACACCATCTGTCCATGTTATGTGTGTAAAATGACGTAAAATATATTTACAGTAGAAGAAAAAATTTGCTTGAGATTATAACATCTATAGTTAAATGAGTGTTACCCCGCACTAATAGAATTTCACCTATAAGTACATTAAGCTCATACTATAAAAAGAAATGTCTATATGAAACCTTGATTGATCTTTTTTTTTTAATCCATTCCTCTGACATCATTTCACAGTAATTAAACAGTTAGAAATTCTTTTTTTTTTCTGTTACCTTCTGTTTATAAATCGACATTGATAGACGTTACGTATACGATCAGATAGTAATTAATACTGATTGACGTATTTTACATGGAAAATAATGCCAATGCATGTACATCATTTCTATCACGTACCAATCGATCGTGTTTTATAAATAATCTTTTTTTTTTAAATTCAAGTTTTTAATAGAAAAGAATTTCTTTTTTATATTTTAGCAATCATATTAGTTATGAAGTTAATGATTATCTTATATTTCTCATGTATTATTTTATCTTTTATTAATACTGGTAAGTTGAATTGAAAAATGAATTTAATGCAAAAATTTTATTTCATTTTCTTTTTAGTTTTTTCACATTCCAATTATGAAACTCGTTTATATGATATAATTCGTAAATCAATAGGGAAAGACGATGATCAACTATTATTAGAAACTCAAATTTATAATTATCTAAATCCAACAAAAATTCCACCAATTAATCAACAAATAAATTCAATGAAAAATAAAGAAGAAAGTAATATGTATATACGTGATACTTGGGATCCAGATGACGATTATTATTTTAAATGGGCTTCGCTAAATCGTCGACCTATGGAATCATTAGCAGGACGAAGACGATCAATAGAAAAAATCGTACCAGGATTGAAACAACAGCGAATTAATACTGGTATATGGCGTAGTGGACTTGTTGGTTAAAACAGAATAAAGACATACACATAAAGGGTGTTCCATAAGTACCGACTCCCTGTTTTTTGTCGCATATTTTGTTGTCCATGTAATTGATTTTTAAATAAAACAACATAATTATAAGTAAATATTAATACTTTCTATAGCATCAAATTTTAAGAGATTTTTTAATCATTTTTAAATATGAAAGAATTTTTATTGTTGAATATAGATAAGAAAAATATAGAATAACATGAGATTAAACGAAACATGAAATTTTTCATTTTGATTAGAATAAAGTGCATATTTTCTGCATAGGAGATTCTGTTTCTTTAGATCTAATAATATTTTATATGTGTAACAATTTCTCGTTTCTTGGTTAATGTAATTATATCTATTTTACTTCATCGATTTAATTCGAAAAGAAGCAATGACGGATTTATAGAGAAGGAAAGAAAGTACTAGAGATGATCGCCATTCTCTTTCCCAAAATTCGAGATCCACCACTGACAAGATGACATCAAAAAATCAAAGTTCTTGCATCCAATTGCGCGAAAAAGTCATCATTTCGATAGTAACTTAACAAAATGAAATGACCATAAAATAGAATTAGACAATGCATAACATTTTTTGGGCCATACGAACTAATGCCTATTTCAAAAAAAAAGGACTGATGAGTATTTTTTCAATAACTCAAGAACGGAAAGAGCCATAGAGCTGCAATTTTCATCAGTTAAATTCTGCAAAACATTGGAAAAAATGCATGAAAACGGTCTATCATTTCGATGAAATTTTGGTTTTGATATGTGATTTAGATCGACAGATCATTTTTGTAGATTTTTTCAAAGTTTTATAAAAATGATTTCGTCTGATATAATATTGGAGAAAAAGACGTTCCGATTATTTTTTATTAAACGGACATTAGTGATTGTACGATATTGCTTTCATATATGATTGCATTGTCAACTTGGAATATAAAGGGTGTAGCCAACAGAGATGCACCTTCTTAGCCAAAAAAATATATGAAAAAGTACGAATGAAAAATCTTTTCGGGAAACAAAAAATTATTTTCCTACTGGTGTGCACTCTTCCTTCATAACAAGTCGGGCACTCCCATTGAAAAATTCCTGGTTATACCCTTGGTATTTTGCGTTTTGATTTGAATAGTTTTTTTTCTGCTGGTTGTATTTCCAAAGTAATTCCATTGGTTCATAGGTATTGCTGCTGTCGACGTTTACTATAAAAATGTCCATAGGGTATCAATTCTCTCACGAGATAAAACAGATATTTTTCAATGTTATCAAGTTTGTCGAAAAAGAGAAGCTTGGACCGATAATTTCACTCTTCAGTGTAAATGAACGACTCTCATCCATGTTTGATATCTCAATGAGATCTGTCGAAAGATTGAAGAATGAAATGAAAGAGAAACATGAATTAAAAAATCGAAAACTTCAGATGATTACTCGACTGCGAAACCAATGATCAAGATCGTCGTCGCCATCGTCCTCATGCATCACCAGCACTAATATAATGGCAACTAGTTTCTCCGTTCCTAATCTTCCGCATAGACTATCAAACTCTGTCCGTCCATCAATCGTTCTGATCGCACAACAACAACAGAAGAATATTCAGTGGGTTCGATCTACTCGAAGAGTAATATTAACCTTAGTGTTTTGTTTAGATTTCATGCTCATGGTCTTTTGGCGGAGAGAATCTATCCCACCATCGACAAGATTCTTATGTGTATTCTGACTAAGGATGTTGATTGTCCCATCCAGTCGAAGACATTGCTATGATGTTGAATGAGAAAACTCAGATCCGTATATAAATGAACATTCAAATGATTAATGCTTATCATTATAGGCAATGGTAAATCACAATCCCTCTCATAGCTACTAAATTAGAGTTACTCGAGCTCGCTATCGATAATATGTCAACAAAACGTTATGCGGGCGATAAGATAGCTAATAAATACGATATTGGTATTTTACGGTTAGTCAATTGTCTTTCAAAGCATTTTCTACCGTAATATACGTAGTTTTATAGTTTGTCGATGAAGTATTGTATACTCAATCCAATTGAGTTAGAATGGATTGACTTAAAAAATGATGTATGTGACAAAAACGTGAACTTTAGCCTCAGCAACATTCGAGACTTGACATATCAATGGATGAAATCTTTGAACGCAATAATCGCTATTGGCTATATTAGTCAGACATGCAAGGTCGAAAGTATCTTCAAGAAGTCTAATCATTCCACTGAAAAAATTAAGTAACAGATGATAGACGAAGAAGTCGATTCAGAGGCAGAACAGATGGCTGATTGACGATATGCGTTGCTGCTCTTTTTCCTTCTTGTATTTGTCATTAAAAAAGGATGTAGTGTGAGTGTTACACTCACACTAACACCCATAGTTCACATCCATATATGTCATGCGTACACAACCCCAGCATGAAAGCAAATAAATATAACTTGACAGTTATGATTTCTTATTATTTTTTCTGCTACGTTGACAATGAAAATGCTTTTCTCATTGTTAATTTTCATCTCTGTTACTAGGTGTAACAATGCTATTTCTTACATTATTCCTTATATTTTCCGGATATCATGTGAGATATTTTTTCTAATTGGTATTGGAGAAATATTCAAGAGTCTCACACTTAGTGATATTTATAATTATTGAATTGTGAGAAGCAAAACTAGCGAACTAACACAATTCTATAGCACTAGATATGACCATTATTCTAATACCATAAATAGTGATTGGTTGATACTTATAGAATACTCTCTAAAATGTTTCGCAAATATTATTTTAAGTAATTGGACTTGTACTTGTACAGGTCAGCAACTAGACGAAAAACGTCAAGTACAAGTAATGGATACATTTTAATCTTTGAAGAAATATTAACAAATGACAAACAGCATAAACAATTAATAAAGATTCTTCTTTTTTTATGTTAAAGTAAAATAGTATACCTTAGTATGAATCAGTTAAATGAATAAGATAAAAGGTAGAAAACAATCGCTCTTTTTCTCTTTTAAATATTATCAAAATTTATTGTATTTGTTTTCACGTGTTTTCAACAACAAGAACGCAATAATTTCAAAGTAGAAAATTCTTCATAGACACTCTAGAAAACAAGAAGAATTAAATAGTATTGATTGATATTTTATTCATGAACTTTTACAAATACGAAACAGTTATTACGACGAGCTTTTCTCATTAATGACTATCACATTAGTTGTTTTAGTCATATATTATATATGATCATTTGATCAATTTTGAAAGAGCAATGACGTTTATCTTTTAAAAATTTACTATGGACAGATTTCGAAAGATTTCTTTGAGCATTATTCATTATCTTTATCGTTGATTCATCACTAAAATTGATCACTTCAAAACAGTCATATTTCATAATAACAACAGACTAACTTCTCTATATTTAATTTTGTCTTTTGTTCTATCTTTCTTTCTTCAACTACAATGAAAAATATGAAGAAGTAAATCTTTTTACAAATATCAAAAGAAAAATGTTTTTCTTTAACTCTTATCTACATCTCAAGAGCAACCTAAGCAAAGCCATCACATCAACCCTTGATACAAGTGTCAATTTAGAAAGATCTTGTCTTCGAAATTAGAAATGCTTTATACCAGCAATGCATCTAGAAGAAAGATTGGGAATGTAACTTCATTTTAATCATATCACAGAGCAGAAAAATGCAATAACTCGTTGAAAATTAATCAATAATTTTGACTCAACTCACCCAACAAACAAAAAAAAAAAAAGAAAAATGATAATAAATAGATGGCTGTTGTCAATGATTACAGCTGTATTCGATGTTATTTTTAGCCAATAAATTTTCTTTTCTATTCTATGATGTGACAATAGTGAAGATGTACCTACGAATCGAAAACTATTTTTTCTTCGACAATTGTCCCTCCCCCTCCTCTCCGCTAGAATAGTCAATTATCTTTTCAAAATTTTTTCTGGATACATCGTCACTGCTATACATTAAATCGATTTGATATTCTTTTGTTAAGAAGAAAAAAGTTTCGATGTTCATTGAGACCTACTGTTACTCTAAAGGCAGAAAAGAAAACAATTATCATGTCGACCAATGAAATTCATCTTTCAGTCCTCCCTATTGATCAACTAGAAATATATGTTTTATTTCATAATATGATATAGCGGATCTTTCTTTTTTTGTTTTTATTTTTTTAATAGTTTTTCCGTAAAACTTAACTATTACAATGCAAAGTATAAATGGTGAGAGTCAGCGAACTAATTGATAATGGATGAATGATGGAAAAAAAAATCAATAAACTATTGTTTGATTCATTTATTTTCTATTTACTATTTATTATTATTGTAGACAAAGTTCAACATCTTTTGATTTATTTACTTTTTTTTAGTATTCATTATTATGTATTCACTTTTTGTTTCTTTTTAATTTCGATATGAAACTAAATATAGTACAAGGGTATTATGTTAAAAAAACGGAGAACTATGAAATTGATAAGCGATAAAATGTTGTTCCATGAGCGCATATGATATTTATCTTTCGTCATAAGTAACTAACGCAGAAGAAGAAAAAACAAGAAAGGTGTATATTCATTGCATTTGAATACATTTACAGGTAGTCTTTTTTTTATGAGTGCATCACTATCACATGATTCAAAGAAAATGTCGGCGTGAACAATTTATTTTTTTTCGTATTTTCAAAAAAAGAAAAATAATTATTTTTCTTATTTTTAGATCATTAATTCTTCCATTCTCTCAATTTCTAACTTAAATCTCTAGATATCTTTTTACATTTATCATCATCATGCCATCATCAGTGACTGAAAAGTGTCCAGCCTACTCGGCTTTTTTTGGCTCTATGGGTGCAACTGCAGCCGTTGTATTTAGTGGTATGTTGATATTCTTAATTCTTCAATAAAAAACTTATTTATTCAATTGCTTATAGCAATGGGTGCCGCTTATGGTACGGCTAAATCTGGTTGTGGTATTTCAGCAATGGCTGTAATGAGACCTGAATTTATAATGAAAAGTGTAATTCCTGTAGTCATGGCTGGTATTATTGCTATTTATGGTCTTGTCGTTGCTGTACTCATTGCTAATAATATAGCTACAGACAATTATGGTCTTTATAAGTGAGGAGAAAAAAAGAAGATGTTTTAAAATAAATTCTTATTTATATTTTTAGAGCTTTCCTTCAATTAGGAGCTGGTTTATCAGTTGGATTAAGTGGATTGGCAGCTGGATTTGCAGTTGGTATTGTTGGTGATGCAGGTGTACGAGGAACAGCTCAACAACCACGGTTAGTAGATTAGTTTTTCTTTTTTTTTTTGAAATAAAAAACACGAAAATAAAATGTAAATATAAAGATAAGAAAAATGTGTTGATTAAATATTTATTTTTTTATTTTTTTTGTCTAGATTATATGTTGGAATGATTTTAATTTTAATTTTTGCTGAAGTACTTGGTCTTTATGGATTAATCGTTGCTTTGATTATGACAACAAAAAATCAACCTGGTTGCGATTAATCGACAGATTTTAAACATACGCATAGTTCATTTTTTTTTCTCATCTATATTTTTCTTTTGTCCTTCTTTAAATCTGTACTACCTACTACAATTATAATTATTATTCTATATCTGTTGTGCATGAAGTCTTAAGCATTTATGTAATTGTTGTTTGTTCATATCCTTGCGTGTATGAGAGTATTTTCATTAATACAAATTCATGCACGATTTTCTTATGTAGACGTATATTTGTTCCTTTTATTTTTCATGGCATTAAAAAAACAAAACAAAAACAATTATCGAAGTGGAGTCTCTTTAATCTACTATATGTTGTATTCACATTTGTTCTATGTTTTCTTTTTTCTTTTTTTTTTTTTTTGATTACTTTCGTTTCGGTGTCAAGTGACATGAGTCAGTATCATATTTGTTTCTTCTCCCTATTATTCATTCCTTCATCGTTCAATGTTACATTTATAAAATATATGCATACATATTTCTTAATCGTTATTTATTAAATTATACGAACAAACTTCAATTTATTGTAAATCTTTGAATAAATGTTTATAAGAATACAAAAAAAAAGAAGATAAATGTGGATAGATTGAATTCGAAATTATTTGATATATTTTGGATAATTTTCTAAACTCGTCTACTCACAATAGAAGATTCTGATATTACAAGTGACGAGAGTTTAATCGGAAATTAAGAAATCTCAAGAGATTCAATAACTTTTTTTTTATTTGTAACTCAATTAATAACATTATTTAATAATAAGAAAATATAAATTTTCATGTATTTTAATAAATTTTATTTTATTGTATGTTGAATAAATGAATAGTTTTTTTTTTGCAAAAAGTTTAATAATTGCAATGAAGAATATAAACAATAGGAAATTTATCATTATTGACTGTAATACAAAAAACATATCTGATCGATGTAAATTCTTGTATATCTATGGCTTTCAATCATCTACTATCTTGAAGTTTCATTTTGACGAAATAGATTAATAGTATTAAGTCTGACATTTATGATCCTCATGGGTTCGTCCTATATTTTTATAAGATAATTAATCACTCGGATTTTATAAAAGCTATCAATCTATTTCTGTTAGTAGGATGTTAAAACAAATGTTGATAGAATGAAATATGATATTTTTCAAAAATGAAAATTGAATGAATTATTATATATTTTAGAGAAAATTAATATTTAAGTAAAAACTTCATGACCTTGAAAAATATTAATCAACATAATACATTTTGTAATAGAATTATTCAAATTTGAAATTTTAGAATATTTTTTATAACTTTTAATTAAAATATTTTTATTTAGAAAACTTCAATTAATCGATTCTAAAAAATTTATTTTCGAATTATCCTAAAATATTTCATGTCTTCTTTTTTGTTTTATTCTGCCCTCTCTATGTACTTTAAATGTCTTGAGGTCGTGTGTATTCTCAGTAGCATTCATCATCCACTCTTAACTTAACATAAAATGTATTGTTATTTGTTCTTGTTTTATTTCTTGAAAATTATTCGAAAGAAAAAGACATTATAACAATATATATTTCTATTGTTGTTACATTTACAAATTTATATTTACTTGTCAACTTTTTTTTTTTTCCTACAATCAATTGTTCAACACTTGAGAAAATTAATATACACATACATTACAACAAAACAAAAGTTATTTTTTCTTTTTCTTTTTTTCGTTTCATTTCAACGCAATGAATGTTTGAATTCAAAGTAAGTTTATTTTATTTCTATTTCTGTATGGTTATTATGATTTGTTGATGAAATCATAGAGCAAAAAAAAAATCAGTGAAAATTTTCGTCCATATCATTATTACTATTCAATTTATAAATTATGTCATCATCAACAAATATTTCTATATCAAGTATTAAAAGTAAACAATCACAAACATCACGACATAATCAATCTATAAAATCTTTATCTAATAATTCATCATTACCTGATTCACTTTTTGATCAATTATCAAAATTTCGTGTTGATGGTCGAACAATTAATGCACGAAATGTTGATGAACTTTATCCAGGTTTAGATCGATTACTTTTAAGAAGTTTACAAACAGGTGATTGTCGACAATTATATAATCGTTTAAAACGTAATTTAAAACCACAATATTTATTAATTACTGGAAAACATATACATATAAGTGTATGTTCACAAACACAAAGTACAATTGAAAAACTTGTTGAAATGGGAGCAACTCTTGGTGAATAAAATTTGATTTTATTTCTATACGTATTTTTTTTTTTATTGAAATAACTTTTTAGATCTTCATTTTTATGAACCAATTCATTTGAAAGAACTTGAATTAATGTGTCAATATGGATTTGATATAAATGAACGTTTATCAAAATATAATAATCAAACACCACTTTCAATATTAATCAATAAAAATTATTCAATAACAATGCTTAATATACTTATAGACCATGGTGCACGTTTTGATTTAAAAGATAATTGTGGTCAAACATGTTTACATCATGCATGTCAAACATCAATAGCTGATTCTGCTTTTGATTTTATTGTTGAACATACACCAGATTCATGTTTAAATATCCAAAATCAATCTGGTGGTACACCACTTGATGTAATTTATTTAACTGCATATGGACAAGCAAATACTTTTCAAATGCGTCGTTTACATGTTTTATTATCTCGAAAAGAAAGTAAATTAACGCGATATGGTATGCGTGAACCAAATTTAATTTCACGACAACAATATAAATTAATTGATATATTATCATGTAAAGAATTTTTATTTAAATATCGTCTTAAAGATATATTTGATTTATCAATACGTCCATTAACATGGTGTATATTTCTTTTTTATGATGTTTTACGTGCATATGAAAAACAGAATACAAATTTTATTGGACAAATAACAATTAAACAACGTCTTGAACGTTATTTTATATCAATGATTGAAAATGGTGAAATTTCATTAGATAAATTAATATTTCGATCGAATACATTACAATTAACATCACCTATCAATGAACACGATCAACAAATATTAATTGATACAGAAAATTCACTTTTACATATGACACAAATAAAAATAAAATTAAGTGAATTACGTATGCAAACACTTACATTAAAAGCTCTTTGTCGAATTAAAATTAAAAAAGAAATTCGAACATTTCCTAATGATATTATACAATTGAATACAATATCAAAATTTCTTCAAGCTTATTTAACATTTTATAATCCATTTATTAAAGCTAATATTACAGATGCAATTTAATATTTTTGCTTCTTAGATATTCAGTATTCTATAAATAAGAATAAGAAAATATATTCATGTCTTTTTTTCTTTTTTGAATTAATAAATGCATTGTTTCGAATAAAATGACTCGATTCAAACAGAATACACATTTGATGAAGAATGTAGGTATGGGTAACAAGATCAATTCTCGCACCAACATCCGACTTTTCACAACAAAATTTTCTTTTTAAAAACTTGATCCAGAGCAACGATTGATACTTTTACAACAGAGGCCAGATGAGTGCAAACACAAAAGCTATTTGAGGAAGTTATTGACAATGAAATTTGAGCGAGAAAAGCATGACATAAGGATGAGAGATCCGACTGTCGGATCTGAACGGAAGAAAACAGCGAATTTAGTAGGATCCTATCAGATTTTGATGGAACCGATGATCGAAATAATCCGGTAATCTGATATTACCTCAAATGAAATATTCAATTGATCTTCTTCATTTCAGCTAAGCTATTGTAAGATGTTATAGAATTTTTGAACTCATTATATTTGTCTCAAAAATAGAAAATAATTATTATATTTCAATTTACAAATCACAACAGTAAAAGACAACTACACATGAAAGCCAATCTATTATCAATCAAACACCAGAAACAATTCGAATATTAAAGAGACATAATAGGATATGAATAAGTTGAGATATTTGAAAAAAAAAGAGAGAAAACATTTCATTAGTAATATTATCAAAAAAAAAAATCAAATTAATCAACTGATATACATGACAAGTATGATTCGAATCAGAAGTCTAGTTCGATTTGCATACACGAATATAGTAAATTAATCAACTTTCTTGTTTAGTTTTACACTACTGGTTTGAAGCAATGATTTATTGTGTCGAGAAACAGACATAAGTTTACGTACAATCAATATTGTCCAATAAAGATTGAGTAGTCTCGTAAAAATATACAAAAAAACTTGTGCTATAACCAACACAATACTTGTAATGTCACCTAGATCGGAGGCCATTCGAATAAATTTCGGTACAGCTCGAAAGGTATACAAACATATAATCGTTCCATAAATAAGACGACTTAAGATGAATGTTACCACAAAAAGAAGACCAAATAAATCATGTATACGAGGTTGTTGATGATAAATTGTCTTTAGATTGAGTGAAATTGTTGAGAGTTCTTCAGCAAGCATAAGAAAATGACTTGCATGAGCAATATGCGTATAAAGACCTGTAAAAGATATGTAATACAATTTATTTCAAGAGATATAAATCATTTTTTTTTTGCCTCTTCTTCTTCTTCTTCTTCCAGATCCTTCGCTCTAGTATGCTGCAATTATCAGGAGAAAATTTTTTATATTGGTCAAAATCGGAAAATATAATTCATTTTAAATGACTCATTTTCAATCAAATAATTTTGTTGAATTATAATTATCAAAATTAGATCATTTTTTTGTTTCCTAAGTTAATTAATCAAATTCGAAAAAAAAACAACGATTCATTTTATTTACCTGCAAGTCCAGCTACAAGAATAACAATATGATGAATTATTGCCGATGAATTTCGAATCGATTTGAATCGTATCATTAAAATTAGATCATAGATAAAATAACCCGATGAATAACATATACTATATGTCATACTTTCATCTTTAGTATCTTTAATGCCTCCACCTAATATACGATTGACTTGTGTCAAATTAACTGATTCTCGTACATAGAATATGCATACAGCAAGAACAGATACACAGGCATGAACAATTGATACAATATAACTTTTAATGAATGGTGTGATAGATGATGGAAGAAAATAAAATATTAGATTATAAACAATGAAAGACAAGAAAATTAACGATAATATAGGTACATTTGATGATGGATTTGTACCAAGATCTATATGTATAAACATACGTTTCATTTGCTTGCTTGATGATAATGTAAAATACTTACATTGAGCACGAGCATCCTCATCAGACAACATTATTAACTTATTAAATGATACATTCGTTGATTATACATGCAGAGAGTTGTTGTCCATTGAAGATTAAGTCGAGTATGGAAGATACGAGAGAAGAGTAACGAAAGAAAAGAATCGGATGATATATTTTCTACGCTATACCTTGACAACGACGTAGTAGAAGCGAAGATAAACTAATTCAAGTTAAACATACATTGCTCGGTGCATTACAGTACGGTACGCACAAGTATCAGTAAAGTAATGTGATTGGTTGATGCCTTTAGGTAACCAGTTTAACAACCGTACAGATGGTGTAAGTTTACTGAATTGTTGATATGGGTTTAGGATAGTGTTTGGTTCAGTGTAATGTAGGTAGCCAATTGATGCAGCAAATTGGAAGATTATGGGAATGTCTCATAATTGTAAGCTTAACCCTTTGATGCCGGGAGGTTTTTTTTATATAAGTGAAACTAGATGTTTATTCAATCAAAAGTGTTTTAGGGTATAATAAGCTTTGAAACAATCAATTATGTAATAACCTCAAGATAGACGTATTGGAACGTATAGGGAGAATCCCAATAAAGAATGTATGATAATACAAAGAGAAAATCCATTATGTAATATTGAAAAATATTAAATGCACTGTGTGGATATTTCCGAAATTCCAATAATTTTCTTGATCAAGAAAGAAAAATTAATCTATAAGCTATTTCCACTCACTTTTGATTGATTTGATATATATGCCATGCTCGGCACTCAAGGATTAAGCAAAATGTAGCTTAATCCCGTAACAATCCATGCCCAAGTAATCTGGTCAGAGTATCAAAAAGTCCTCGTTCTAGACTAGTCTGAAATCTACTATGTCCTAGAATCTCATCTCTATCCCATCACTGACGGGCAGAGAAAGATCCGTTCAGAGCCGGTTAGATATCGAATTATCATCCTAAACGACGGCTTTTTGAGACTCTGACTAGACAGACCGAGTTGACATGATGCTTGTCACAAAATGATTTAAAATTGAAAAAAAAGGGAAGACAGTCAGAGACGGTTCACATGACACACTTTAGTGAGATGCATTGGATTAGTTCGGATGAGCCTGAATCTAACTATATTATAAAATGAAAGGTCAGGCATACAATACGTTACTTATCTTTTAGACAATTGAACCAAATGATTAGAAAATCTACTTTTACGTCTCGATAAACATTCGTAGATACCATTTAATAAAATTTGCATGTGAATAGAAAAAGTTTTTTTAGCACAAAAATACGTAGATAACAGAGATGCCCACCGCTCTAAAGTCTTTTCGGTGAGCAGGGTGCACGCCTAACGGGAACTGAAAAAAAATTTTCCTTATATTTGTTACTCAATGATATTTCTTACAAAATACCATTTCATTTCTGAACACTTATATAAGAAAAGCAACGTAAAGTTGAAACTATGGCGAAATAATATTTTATTAGCGAAAACACATAATCACACGACAAGTGACACTCAAAATTGATCGTACACTTTATATAAAAATCGAGATATATTTCACAATTAAAAAAAACGCGTATTTTGTGATCTCGAGCAGAAACAAGGCATTTGTAATGCCCGTTACAATGAAATTCATAAAATTTTAAGATTAGATTGATTTGTTATCAGGATGACTTGCGATCAACATTGATTTAGATTTCAGTTATAAATTTAATAAATTAGTATAAAATGAAGTGATAAAACAAATGGTATTTCAGAAAGAATGAGTCTATCAACGATTGAATCTCTTCTTTTAATCTTTTAGCGTTTGATGTGCATTCTTTTTGAAAAGTTTTTTTTTGCAATAGAGTTTAACAGCTGATATAATTAAGGTGCGGCCGCCTTTCGACCCGGCACCCACAATGCACGTCTCTGGCAGATAAGTTTGAATAAGAAAATTTTAGATTTTTTAAAATTAAAAACAAATCAAGTATGAAAATAAATTAATTTTACATTAAATGAATAAACTATATATGTAAAATAAAATGATAATACAAAAAATTCAATTATTTTCAAATCAAATTATTATTATTTTTATTTATTTTACTCGTATAATCATTTAAAATTTTAAGTTCCCAATTTTTGCCACAAGATCAACACTATACTTTGTATATTTTCCTACTTTTTGATACTTTGTTATACTTTTCTTTTATGTTAACACTCAAAAGTATGAAGAATGGCATCAGTACACGCACGAATGTGATGGAAATCTGACAAGAGAACCTATCCAGGTGCTAAAAATCTTTTGAGCTCAAATTTTGCCCATAGGTAGGGGATGTATAAACTACAGAAAACCCAAAGACGTTATAGGTGTAAGTTGCAATTTGGCTGTGATATTGACTTTTTACTATAATCTACTAATAGGACTCGACTTTTCCGATAAAATCAAAGTTTCAGAATTTCTGGATGGATTATCTTCGAGATACTAGCAGCTTAGCTTATAGACACTTTTTATAGATATTGTATTATGCACAAATATTTTGGAAAATCCATATCTTGAAGATAATTCATCCAGAAATTCTGAAACTTTGATTTTATCGAAAAAGTCGAGTCCTATTAGTAGATTGTAGTAAAAAGTCAATATCTCAGCCAAATTGCAACTTGCACCTATAACGTCTTAGGGTTTTCTGTAGTTTATACGTCCCCTACCTATGGGCAAAATTTGAGATCAAAAGCTTTTTAGCACTTGGAGAGGTTTCCTTGTCAAATGGTGATTGATTTTTAGTAAAACACACTTAACAAAATGATATAAATCAATTTAAAATTAATAATCAATCTTCTAAATCAAAGCAATGGTAAACTTATTGAAACCCGAAGTCAAAGATTATCTATGACGATAATATTAATCAGAATATAATTGATAGTTGACTGATGTAGAAAAAAAATATTAACATATTGATTTCTGATCAAAGGAAAAATGATTCATGAAGATTTCATTACTATAGAAGTAAATTACTTTTGTTCTTTTAACTCCTTTAATTTTTTAACCTTTCAAAACATATAAACGATAGACTGTTGACTATATATCTCATTCAAAACTGAATAAGTTATCTTAGTAGTGTTTAAACAATAATATTTTTGTAATTTAAATTCGTACTATTTAAAAAAAAAAATTTAGTTCTATGAATTTTTTGTGAAATTATTTTATCTTCGATAAAATTATCTTGTTTGTTGGATTGATTCAAATTCACTCAATATGAAAAAATCTTATTAAAGCTTGTCTTACTAAACGACTTATTATTATCATCATTCATAAAATCAATGATTTATTATTTTGTGAAATACGATCTAACAGGAGTGTTGAAATACAGGGATAATAATTTGGATCCATTCCTTCTGCGCACTGACCACGTCTTGTTATAATATATGAACTATTTCCTTATTTCATTTCTGAAGGAGAATGGAAAAGAAATGTGTCCACGACACCATGTTTGTTTGATTTCAGTAACTTCTTCTCTAATGGTGTAACTAGGGTAGAACCAAAAGAGGTTTAGTCTTGGCATCTGCAATTTCCTCTTGTCAATTGAATTTTAGACTGAGAGTAATAGAGAATGAAAAATGAAAAATTTATGAAAGAAAAGTCTACATCTTCTATCCACATAATCAGAAACATCAAATCTATTGTCTACACTTGATCTCAATCAGTAACATACATAATGATACAACTGCTATACACACAAATTAATCTATATCAACATCATTAACATTGAATATATGATCAATGCCGTCAGCATCAACACGATCAATATCTTCATTCCGATTATCTATTGATACTAGTCGTCCTCAATTAGTTGATCCAAGACCACAACCTTTTTCATCATCACTAACGTTCTCAACATGCTTTACATTTCATTATCATTATTACCTATTGATATTAGCCGATCACATTTGAATGATCTTTATTCTGTTGATAATTGAACATGATACGATGTTAATTTTAGAATTTAACAATATTAATTGGATGTATATAAAATTTGGTTAGTATCTCGAAGTGATCAAAAACAGGTTGAAAATTTTCACACTTAAATTTCTGGTTATGGCTTCGGTAAATTTAATTCAATTGTTATAAAAAATAAAATATATTTTTGATTTAATTATAGCTAGTTACTCTGTTTTTACTATATATTTCATAATTACATTTTATCATAAAAATTCTTCATTGATCATAAATTTAATATTTATTTTGTGATGATATATTGCAAAATGCTTGACTTTATACACGAGAAAAAAAAAAAAAAAAAAAGAAAAGGAGACCATCGATGCAAAAAAAGAAAATTAAATATCTTAATCTGTTCGTGGTGGTCGTTTCGTTTGTACAAGCATTGCTTTTTGAATTTTTCGACCACCTATATTATTTGTTTCTTCATCATCGTCACATGTATGAATAACAATCGCTGGAGCTTTTGAACCAAGTTCACTTGGTACTAATTCATGAGCCTTATCTTTAAAATAAAAAAAAAAAAAGAAATTTTATTTTGTATATTTTTTGTTTTTTTACATACTCGGTTGTAATTGTGCAACAGCAGCAAGAAGATTTAAATCAACAATCGGTGGATCTTCAAGTTTTTGTTCCCAACCAACAGGTGGACTTGCTGGTGGTGATATAAGAAAAAGTTTTTCAGGTTCCGGTGGTCGTAAATGTGTATCAGGATTTGCACCACGAAATACAATCGGCTATCAAAAACAAGAAATACATTAATTTATAAAAAAAACAAACAAACAAATTAGAATTGACTTACACATGCAAAATAAGTTTTAAATATTGTACCATGAAATGGATATTCATGAAGATGTAATCGAGCCTGTAAAGCATTATGTGGTGATGTAAATGTAATACGTACACGTTGAAAAAATTTCAGATAAAGTACAATTATATTCGGATCATAAACACGAAATAATTGTTCAAATTCATCCTTTTTTTTTTAAATAAAAAAAATTAATATTACAAAAAAAAAAAAAACAATAGACTTTACTTTAAGTTGTTGATTAGTAAATAATTCTTGAGGTACTGGTGTTATAATTACACTATTAGGTAATGATGATACATCAATATCATCACTATCATCTGGTGAATGAACATGATCATTTTCGTTGTTATTATTATCTCCAAGACCATCAGAATCATCACTTATATAATTAATAAAATATTTCGACGAATCTTCATCGTCTAATTGAAGAGATTTTAAATCATGCATTGTAAGATCAAACTTCGGAAAAATACAAAATAGAAAAATAAGAAAAGTATGGAAAAAATATCGATAAATACACTCACATTATCATTAGTCATAATATTGTTTATACCTATGAGTCATAGAATATATTTTCTCGATAATTCTAGTAAAAAAAAGATCTATGTATGGATCCGTTAAATTGGTAAAAACTAGCAGCATTAAAAAAAAACCAATCAATATTTCCTACATAAGCGACATCTAGTACGGGAAAACTTAATGCATTTTCAGTCAGACGGATTATTTCTGTTTGAAATCGTGCATGATTTGTTTCCGAAGTTATTTCCTTTGATTAAAATAACGTATATATGATTTATCAGAAACAACTATCTAAAATAATAATTTTCATATTTTTTTTCTTTTAATGTTTTATATTAATTTGAAAGAAACTATAAAAAAAATTTTGTATTTTATTATTGTAAAACGATTGTATTAACTACGGAAGTATTTGTTTTTTTTTAATCTTTGTTGTGATTCATAGTAGATAGATTATGATTTATAACTATATTATGAAATTATTCCTTATAAAATTTTTTAATTTAATTATTATTTATATAGAATACTCAATCTACTTTTGTTTTTATATATCGATAAATTTCTATTTCCATCAAGAAATAATAAATACTCAAGATCACACAAGCATTTTTATGAAGACTCTTATATCGACATTTATTATGAACTAAATGAAACGGAAGCCTTTTATTTTTTGCTTTACAATAAAATCTTCCATTATGATCTTATCACATAAAAGAATAGTAGAGCAAAATATCGTCATTCACGTCATTGTAATGACACGAAATAAAAAAAAGTATTCAATATGAAATAACATTCGCTATGAAAAATAGATGTTAAGAATTATAATGGCAGCTTTTGTTTAACAAAAGAAGAGATCTTACCAAGAGATAAAGAAGTTTTTAGTTGAGTCTTACCATAAATCTCATTTCGTATAATAATCTGAATTGTCCCGAAAAATTTCTCTAGACAACACAAACGAGAGTCGGGAGAATATAGAAAAAAGAAAAGCCTACATCTCAAAATTTCCCTATCAAAAGCGTATTTTAAATTTACAACTTCTTATTTCTAATAAATAGTTTAATATTTAAAACAATTTCATTAATATTTTCTTCATCAGTTGTTCTAGTTTAAACGCAATATTTGATTTAATTAATGTAATGTATATAAATCACAGTTATACTTCATTTTCTTTTCTCTCACTTAAATAACATTTTATTTGATTAAGCTAATATCTTATTGATTTTATCAGCATCCAGACATATTCGCCGTTGATCGATATTGTATTTCCGATAATATACATCAGCAGATCGATAAATATCTAATAAACATCTCTATATAAATACATTTTTTTGTTTCTATTGGTAATATAAAAAAAGATGTATTATTTTTTTGATAAAATCATATCTTGATATTTCTTTTTCTTAATGAGATAATTCGACATCATGACGTTTAACAGGAAAGAAAATTATGGAATGGAATTCAAGATATTGATCTTTACATAAATAAACTTCTTAATAGAGATTGCTCTTTGTAAAAATGTCATGTTGTTTAATACCTAATGTCTTAAAACTTTGCTCTTTTTTTTTACATTAGGAAATTTTCAATATTGGTATAGAAGATAGTAGAAAATTTGGTACTTTCCTAATGAACAAATTTTCATTGAGAACTTTATATTTGAAGTTAAAACTTGAAAATTTTCTTGTTAATAGAAATTCAATTGATTTCTAAATTGTATTAGAAATTTTTTTTTTTTTATTTAGTCTTACCACCTTGAAGTCTATAATTTTCAAGGTTTAAAACTAAATAACATATGTTACATCTAAGTTTCAGTATGTTGCGGAAGCAACCGTTATCATTACATTCTCCTCATGATTATAGAATAATTATTGTCGAGAAGTACTTTTTTTATCCTTGTTGCATGACATTTATATCATGATTAACCTGATTTAATCTTTTAATGAAGTCAATATATTCTTATTTTTTTAAAAATGTTAAAGAGACTTTTACTTTTTTTTTTTTTCATTTTAAATAAATAACACGTAAAACATATATTTATTATTGTTATTAATTTTTTTTCCTTATAAAAACAAATGAAACAAAAAAAAAAAATATTAAATTTGTAATCAATTGAAAATATTTGACATGATATTTTTGTATTTATATCAATACATAATTTTCGAAATTTTGAATCATTTTACAAGAAAATGAAGATCTTGATCATAACTGTTTTGTTTATTTTAAGTATATTGGATACTTTTATGAATGTTTTTGTTGCTTATGCAAAGATAATATTGACCTTAAGTTGTATATTTATTGAATCTAGAAACAAATGGTATTCAACTAATTAAGAATGAACATAAATTATGACATACTATCATTATATAAATTATTGTAAATTTAAAGAAATTGACTCAATTAGTTTCACGAATAATTATATATTTATTAATATAATCAAGCAAGTAATGTATCGATTGATACTTCAACATGTTTCATCTACTTCTCTTGATGATGTAGAAAACAAAGAAAAAAAATAATCTAATATATACATCAAATTTCATTTGAATTCTTCATCTTTTGTATCAATAAAATAAAACATTTCCTATGTTCTTTATTCTTAATATTTAAGAATCAATCCCAAATATAAATAATATTTATGCTATCTATCTTTACAATTCAATAACAATAATTTTGTTCTCTTTTTTGTTTTTGTTTTTATACAAAATTTAATATGATGAACATTGTAATTTACATAGTTAGATATTTATTAAAAACTAGTATTCATAAATAGCATCCGACAGAAATATGTCAATTGTCAGACATACGAAATATTTATAAAAAAAGAAAAACAAGACAGATACCAACTGTTATTTTTGTACACTATGATCCATCAGGAAAAAAAAACCAAAAAAAAAAAAAATAAGGTCAAACAGTAGTAACTTAATACCAACGTAAAGACCTTGTAAAAAGTCATACAATATTCTCAGTTTTCTTCTCTATTGGAAAGCTATCATTCGTTCTTTGCTGCCGTTTTAATCTGTTAGTAAGCAACTATTATTCATGTTGACATCAACAATCTCGTATAATTTAGTTACAGTCACAAATAGATCGATGATGATTGATCATTCGAACGCTAATAAATACATCAATATAAAGCAATTTGTTAGAGAGGGAAAAAAAAGAAAGCAAGAAAGAACTTCGTTTATATTATCTTTTTGAAACAATTTCTTCTTGAGAGAAACGATGAGACTTGTGATCAGAGTTTTTTTTTGCACAGTGATGAATAATGCAATTACTCATGTACTTGCGTTCTACCGATGAACATTTCTACTAACTCGTATAGAACAGTGACATGAGAGAGAGGGCAAAGGAAAAAGAATAACTAGATGCTTGGCAATCGCTTTTTTTTGGCTTTTCTTTCCTATTTCATGTACTCATGCTTGTACTCACATCTTTTCTCTCTCATTTTTTTTCTCTTCTTTTTTTCTTCTCTCTCTCTCTCTCTCTCTCATTTTTCTTGCTTGCTCGTCCAGAAGACAAAAGGTTGAAACTTAGTGTCACTCAGCAGACAGCATAGACATACAGGCGCACACTTTCACATTATCAACAGCATCTAAACAGACAACGACAACATAACATTAGTCTATTAGATTCGTCAATACTACGGCGAAAATGACAGAATCGTAAGTATCTCATGACAATATTTATTTAAAAAAAATATGTGATAAATACTAGCATATTATATTCTGATCAATAGTATTAACATCTGCTCATCGTTAAATAGTTTCCTAAGATATCGGTATTAATTTATCCTTTATAAGAACTACGAAATAATCCCGGAAGATGTTTATAGCCAATAAGGAGAAAAAAAAACTGCAATAAATATGTCTCATTGATCAATCGACCTTTATTGAGGAATTCCGACATCAGAAGAAATATATTTTCCATTCAAAAGTATGACTAGATTCTTCCTGAGGCGACAACTGAATATGACATATTTTTTTTTCGCTGTTGTTGTTATTTTAAATCGATTTGTCTTCTTCTTAACATCAAGAACAAATCTAAACATTAATTTACACCAATGATTTTATCATCAACTAAGTCTATATATAGAATATAGAAAAATATCCTGTTGTGTTATAAAGGAAATATTAGTAATTGACAGGATACGTTTATCCATTTTCTCTTTTTTTTTCCTTTTGTCATTTGCTTCTTTTTCTTTTATTTTTATTTATCTGATAGTGACAGCAACGATCTTAATAAGATGATATGATTCATTTTTGAAATATAATAAAGTAAACACGCATGAGAAATTATTCATGCATAATTGATTTATTTGACAAAAGAATTGTTCTTGATAGAATTTTTATTATATTAGATCTATCAAATTTCTTACGAAAATATAAAAAACAATACAAAAAAATCATTGTATACTTATTTTCATAAAATCAATAATTATATAATGTTCGAAAATAACAAAATCAGGAAAAACATACACACGCATGCATACATACAAATATAATTTTACTTAAGAACGGAAATAATCAAAAATATCTAATAGAATGAATTTAAATCTTTTCAACAATGACTTAAGATAATAGTCATTAGATACATTGTTTATTTTTGTAATGATAATATATATATATGCTAAGTCGTATATACACTATATAGTGTCATTAGTTAAAAAGCTATTTAGAATACTTGAATATATATTGGTTATTTCTTTTTGCCTTCAGAGTAGTATTATAAATAAATAACGACAATTGAGACTGAAGAATGAACATCTAACTCAAGAATAGATGATGTTAATGGAAAAATTTTATTTTTTTACGATATGTATTTTATCTTAACATTAAGGATTAATGATTTGATCTACACATTTCATTTTTAATTTTTTAATATAGAAGTTAATATTTCATTGAGTTAATTAGAATCATTAAGAAGATATTTTGTGTACATACAAGTTCATTTCTTTTTTTGTCTAACGACGAATATGATATATTCTTTGAGATATGAATTATTATGGTATTCGAAAAAGAATAACTATCATATTTCTCAATTGATAAAGAAAAAGAAAAAAAGATAACTTTTTTTTTTTGGGAGAGACATTTATTTAATTTATGCAAAAAAAACAATGAAAATGTCTGGAAATTAATGTGACATTTTTCTTTCATTATTGGAATGTTATGATATTAAATGAGTTTTGAATCATATTACATATCTATGGAATTGATGTTACTGATAGATGAGAAAATAATTATTAGAATTTTAGAAAATTTATTATGAGAAAATACTTAACATATTCCATAAGTATATCAAAACTATCCGCTAGGAATTTTTTGATTATTTCATATCAACTATCAATGTATATAATAAATATATTTTATATAAATCTATCCGGCAATAAAGCACAAATACTTCACATCTTGAAGTACACTCAAGTGTTTGTGCTTTATTGCCGGATAGATTTATATAAAATGAACTAAAACCAATAATAATACACATTAATATCAGATTTGAGATAGCTAAAAAGTTCTAGAGAATAGTTTTGACATATGTTGAAGTAAAGAATTTTCGATTGTACGCCTTTGGGTGAAGCCTGTCGGGTGCAGGCCTAAGGTCATGGGTACTATTTTGAAAAAAAAAAAAAAGAGCTAATTATAAGTTGATTCTTATAAGATCATGATTGCGATTGCTTCAGAATTGTTAAAAGTGTGTCTCTGGAGGTAATCAGGTGCGAATTAAAAATGTTTCATTAACTCTTCTTCCAGGACAGAATGTTTTTTAGTCAGAAGGTGATTCTCTTATCATTTTTTTAAAAATTATTTAGCTCGAAATGATTACATAGAAAAACCAATTTTCTTTTCCTTTAAACGGAATGTTACTTTATAAGTCATGCATCCGATGTTAAATGTAACTTCCACTTCTTTATGCTACACTAAGCATATCTTCATGTTTCTTTCAGGGGTAAATGCATTTCATTATTAAAATGAAGAACCACCTAGATTTGTCACTTACAATAAAAACATGAATATATAAAAGTGCAATAAACAGTAGGAATATTCTTGAGAGATAAGGGTCAGAAGAAAAGAGAAAGAAGTCATGACGTCACTGAACAGTAACAGACAGAATAGAGAATATTTAATAAGAATCTATATGAGCGAAAGAAAAGACAAGTTTGAGATGATAGATAATGTCACCTATAACCTATATGTCCTTGTAGGTCTAACAATTTAATATAAACAAAACACTTTTTTCTCTACTAAAAAATAAGTAGGACAAATATGTGCCACCTTCCTCAAAGGGTTAGGTGTCAAGAGTACAATTCAGGACTGGGTCTAGGTTCGGGTCGGGTCTAAAACATATTCAATAAACCGGATCCGAGTCCAAAATTTTTGGACCCGATGGGCTCTACCTTTGCTTTTTACATATCCAAAATTTTCAAAATATAAAAAAAAAATAACTCAAATCTTAACAATTATAAATTATAATTTGGATTTCCTATCTATTTAGGACATTCTCAATAGTTAAAAGTACATGAGACTTGAAGTTTACAATTCCATAGTAACGTACCAAAACAAAGTGTAGCAAATTTCATATTCTAACCATTCATCTATTTCGAATCGAATAAACTTTAATACTTAAACAATTGATTATTTTCTAACTGACAATCTATATCTATGATAGTGCGAACAAACTTGTAACATAAACAATTTTCAGTAAATTTCTAAATTACAAGTAAACATCTTTGAATAAATAATAGACTATCAAAAATTTATAAGAATTAATTTGTAATTCTGATTTCTATAATCAATTTGTTTCATATATGTAAATCATTTAAATTGCTTTAAGTGAAGTGGTTCCGATCCTTCTAGCTATTTTATACTTGAGAATGCTTATTTAAAAAAAAAGAGAGTGGTAGTATTATTTCATTAGAATTTTGAATAGAGAAGAAAAAAAAAGAAGTAAATTCATAACATTATAAGTAAAATTTTGAGTTTTTATTCTTAGTTATTTTTTTATAAGTTGAGTAGTTTCTCAAAAATTTATTCATTCGAATTAAGCGAGGGTGGGTGTAATTTTAATAATTCAACAAAACGCAATAGTTAACAATCCGTACATCAATATTTCAAATTCTATAAAATTATAGATTTGAAATCCTTTCATTATAAAGATAATTTTATCTAACAAAAATTTCTGGAAACCGCAAGTCGTTAACATATTACTATTGTCGAGTTCTTAAGGTTACATCCATTCGTCTTTAACATTGACATGTACACATTAGAATTATAAAGATTTCTAATTAATAAATCATAAAAAATTAGCAATTAGATCGATCATAATTATATATTTCAAATGTCATTTTTATACAACTGTTATATCTTTTCTATAATCAAATGACATATATAATTATTTCTTATAATGATAAGATCTAAATAAAGTAAACAGAAAATCTTAATGATTATCATTTATTTAGTTTTATACACATCAGCAAATATTCATTAAACACATACGAAATAAATATAAACTCATTATTTTTATTCGCATCATAAAATAATAATTAATGAAATCATCCAAAAATTAAATGCTTTCATAATTCGTTAAACAATTGAACTTCCTCCTCCCTTCTTTCCTCAATCAATCATAAATTCTCATGTGATTATTTCTTCAATAGATTAAATATATAATCATTATATTACTAAAAAGTCTATACAACATTTATATATTAAAACGAGAGAATAAAATTAAATTTCCTGAATTAATTTATTACTTTTGAACTTATAATACATGTATCCCTGGAAGAATTTGCACTAAATCTCAATACATTTCTTAATCATAAGAAAATAAAAAAAAAAAAAGAATTCTCTCTTATGCCTTAGGATAGAGAAATTTCAAAATCTACAAAAGAAAAAGAAAAAAACATTATTGACTTTGTGTTTCCTTAAACAGGTTTTTTCATGTCAACGCACAATTTAGAAGAAGAATATTTACTCAGAAAACAAAACAAACAAAAAAAAAAGAAACCTTCAGAAGAAACAGGTTTTTTTTTGAATTAAAAAATAAAAAATAACAAGAGAAAATATCAGAAAAAAAAGTTCGAAATATTTCTGACAATTCAACTTGATATTTACATTACAATTAAACTCTACGTCCGATAATATAATAACAACAGTAAGTCTGTCTAATATGATTTTCCAAAGTGTACTCAAATATTACGACAGTTATATATTCTTGTAAACATTACCCGTGTGAAAAATCTTGAAAAGATCATTAAGACATGGAGGGTAACATTTTTTTTTTATCTATTAATTATAAGTAATTTACTTTTAACCGAATCAGAGAATAAGAAATTATATAGTATAATGACTGAATAAATGTAAATATTTTAAATTTAATAATGAACTTGTTTGAAACAAATAAAGTTGATAATTATGTACAACTTAAAATTCTAATAATAAAATTTATTTTAAGTAATGTTAAAATGATTTCGACTAATAAGTTTTATGAATTGAAATTTTATCTATAAGTTTCATTCTTAAGAAAAATATTCTAAATGATTCAATTAAAATAAAAATAAGAATACCAGTTCTCTAAGCTTAAAATATAATGAAACATTTTGCAAGAATTTCTTGTTACGGCTTAATTATCATAAAAAAAGAAGATTACTAAAGTATATTATTTATAGAATTTAATGAGTTGTGTAAGGAAACAATCTAGTTCTTCTTATCTACAAGACATAAATGTGACTTTATAGAATAAGTTTTTTTTCTTTGCCAAGATTATTTGAATTTATAAACTATAAATATTTCTATTAAGTCAATAAAATGTCAATATATTCAATGAATAGAACTTTTCTTTTGTTTAATTGTATTTCACAATTGACATCCCATAGGAATTGTAGGAAAACAGTTAGAAAGTTAGTAAAATGTTATCGATTATATTCATAACAATATATTTGTCACTAAAGAGATTGATTATTAAAAATAAAAACTGCATTAAATTATATATTTAGAAGTAGATTCGAATCTAATAAAAAAACAACCATAGAATATATTGACGATGACAAATGTCATGTTCGTGTTTTTTTTACTTATATGTTATACAGGTCTGTTTTTAATTTAATTGTATGATTATTTATGATTTTTTTGTCATATTCCTGACAAGATAGATAACATGTTGTTATTTAAAGTCCTATGTCTATAGACCAAATACATCAAATATATTATATTTCGTATATCAATGACGTTTACTTCTAAAATAAAAAAAGATAAATCAATGTATTTGTGATTCAACCAGGTAGAAATGAATACAAAATAATTTTTCTGTCAATTAAATTCTATGTTGTTATAAGAACAAAGGTGTTAATAACTAGAAATCTTTTTATTTCTGTCAATAAACAGAAATTCGTTCATGTGTAATAATGATTAGATAGTAAATTTTCTTTTTTTTTGTTTCAATCAGATATATGAATGTTTATATAAATGCATAAATTGAAATCATTACTTCATCAATCTAAAGAATAATAAGAAAGAAAATTTGCACTATTATAATCGAGCTAATCTCAGAATTAGCCTAGACTCGATTACTTCCATGCGTAATAAGAATGTGATATTCCGCATTTGATCATTTTCTATCACACCTACTTTGACTAGAAAGATTTCTAGGTCTAGTTGATCTATCTTTTTTCTTTCCTAGTTTTTCTTTTTTTTTTTTTTTTTGTTTTGTTGCACTGTCACTCAAAGAAACGTCAGTATCTATCAGTACTTCTCAATCTTTTCCCCTTTCGTCGATTCTCTTCCGTGCTCATCTCTTCCTCTCTTCTCTTTACTTTAATGTGCGTATATGATGAAGTCAGAGTTTTTCTTTTTTTCTAGGAAAAATATATTCGAGAACGAGACAGATTGTTTTCTATTCGTCTATTAAGTTTTATGAATGTCTATGATGTTTTCATTTTCATTGTTGATGTTAAGCGAACATCTAGTTAAATTGACCCGACGTTTGCATTTAATCGGCAAAACAATAGACTAGTGACGTTATATATGTGATTAATACATTTTTAAAACGTGAGAATTCAAATAAATAAAAAAAAAAAAAAGAAGAAGAAGAAATCTGAGAACATCTATATAATAATGAAAGCAGAAACACCATTGCCTTCTTTACTTCGTCGACGATCTACTCAACGAAAAAAAGTTCAATTTAACAGGTAAACATATTTTATTCATTTTACATATTCATAGTACTTTGGATAATAAAATGAATGAATTTTTTTTTTTAAATAATAAATGTAACTAATAAAATAATGCGTCTTATTGGATTAGTTACGTTTTTCTTTTTTCCTGGAAATGTCGGAAAATCCATCAGACTTGAACGACAGATAGAGGAAGTCAACTTAGCGTCAAACTAATAATCATGTAGGTTATTCTCCATTAGATCGTAAAATTTTCTTTACTGCTGTCATTTTTTGTTTTTCGTAACAAAGATTCAAGCCTATATTATAAGAATTGCAATGATTTTCGAGTCAATTCATATACGTAAAAACAACAAAAAAAATCATACGATAGTTTTATTGACTTTGATGTTGTTAAGGGAGTTAGAAAGATACATAATTCTATGTAAATATCCGGTCTTTTTTTGTAATAAGAGTACTCATATTTTTTTATATTTTTTTTTAAGTATTTATCAATTGATAGAAGAAAATAATAAAAAAAAAAAAAATTATTTTCTAATGATTATGACTATTATTCGTTATATGTTTCGAAGAATATTTTCATGTTAGATATTTTGTTTTGTTTCATTTTCTCTTTTCATTGATTTTTTGATGTTAGTTTAATTTGATGTGTCTTCTGACGCTCAACTAATGTATAGATTCGTAATAGTCTATATTAATTTTCTTTTTTATTAGTTGATGCAAAATAAATAAAGATATATTAGAAAGAAAGAACAAAAGCAAATGATAAAAAATAATAAATTTCAGTAAAAGATGACAAAGATTATAATATCAAAAAAAAAAAAGAAGAAATATATAACGCCTTAAATATTCATCAAAGAATTGAAACAATGTAATGAAACGTAGTCAGATAAAGGACTAGACGAAACTCAGTGTTCTCCTTCCGCCCAAAAAGCTTTGATTCTTGTCTAGAAATGGTTGAGTTCCGCTTACAAAAAAAAAAAAAAAGAAGGTTGAATTTCTTCTAAAAGCATTACTAGAAAGTTTTATGATCATTAAAGACTGAGTCCTTCCAACAACTTCTTTTTGTTTTTGGTTACGCCATTAGATCAAGGTATTATTATATTTCTAATGAAATGCTTATATTTACAAAACAAAAAGAAAAATAATAAATTATGTCGTATTTGACATTCATAGAAAGAGCACGTCTTATAATTATTCATCATATTTTTTTATCATATATAGAATGTACGAACCACATCATCATCATCTACAATCAAATGGAAATGAAGATAATGTATTGATAAAAGAGACAATACTCGAACATGATATATCTCCTAGAAATTCAAGAGCAACAATTCACTGGAGACCTGATCTAGAAGATGACATAAATAACAAACAACCAATTAATACAGATACTGAGCATTTTGATGCATTATTTGCACGTTCGAATGCTTCACCATTACCACCACCACATCCTCGTTGTTATAGTTCATGTTCACCTTCTACTGTTCCATTTCAATTATTTATTGATAAATCAGTACATAATTATGCAAAATCTCAACCACATTTAACATTATCATCATCATCTCATTCAACTAAACATTATGATGGTCGTCGACAATCAATGGTATCATCAACAAAAAATCCACAATCAAATTCAGTACAAATAAGAAGAAAAACATTTTTTTTAACTCATGGTGCACAAGCATTTCTTCAAACATCAAATTCTCAAAGCGAACAGTTGGAACCATTAGCACGATCATGTTCTTATAAACGTCCTCAATCGATAAAAAAATATCGACAACAAAAGCAAGAAAAAGAAAAAGAAAAAGAAAAAGAAAAAGAAAAGGAACAAAAAGAAAAAGAACAGAAAGAATATATTTCTTCGCGCAAATATAGCACATATAACAATAACAATCTTCACACAGTTGCTTTCTATTCTGGTCGGAAATCGATTACTTGTGCACCATCAAGAATTTCTGCAACTGATCTTATGGCAGCAGATGATCCACATGATCAATGGTCAAGTCCCAAAGCACAACGTTCAGGACGAGTTGGTAAGATAAAATTATTCAATTCTTTTTATTTTTATTTTTCTTCTTCGTCTTCCCCCTCCTCTAATGACTCTCCAATATCCTATAAAATAACGAAAGCACCAGCTGCTTTTGCAACCAAACTCATTGTAGTAACTTCATTGATCATGACAACAGACGTAAAAAATAATTTATTATTATATTCTCAAATAGGTTCTTTGCCACTTGATCAATTACAAATACCTCATGATATTGATGAAGAAATCTATCGTGTAAGACAATTTAATACAACACCAAAAGGTTTTGTTAATCGCGGGTAAATAAATAAACTTAAAGAAAAAAAGGAAAAACAAGATTGTTAATTTCTTTTTTTTTTGTTTTTTTATTTAAAATATTCTTTTAGTGATTCATTTAAACGTTCATTTAAACGAAGTGGTTCAATAAGTCGTCGAAGTTCATTTCGTAAAACAGAAGGTACACCATCACAAGAACATCTTAATGATAATATTTTATTAAATAATGAAATACGTACAAGTAATAATTCATTAACAAATTCTAAATCGATATCAACTGTACCTAATCTCAATGAAATACGTGATACTAATTATATTGATTCAAATATTGAAAATATTTCATCATCACCAATTATTAATAATAATAATGATGATGATATTGATGATGATGATGATAATCCACATGTTGAACGTATTGAAACTGAAGATGGTCGTGTACAAGATATACGTATTTATCAAGTTTATTTACTTGGTATGAGTGGAACAGGAAAATGTTCACTTTTAAGACAATTTAAAACAACTGAATATAGAGGAATTTATGATTATTCAAGTTCAGTTGGTAAGTTAATGAATATAACTTGTCAGCAATGATGGTTGCTTAATGACTGTAGGGCAACGATATATACATACAGATGGTAAAAAGAATCATTATCAATAAACAAGATATATTGTTAGGATGTAATAGACAGAATGTGATGAATAATACGACGTCAATGGAGAACTATATTATGTGCGAAGGAGAAAAAAAATAATGACGAATTAGAACAGACAGATAGAATATTGAGATGTTTTTCTTAATGTTATATATGTTTATATTTAATAGTTACGAACTATACTTAGAAAGAGAAAAAAAAAAAGAAAGCAAAGAATATTATGATAATTTTTTTCAGATGTAATAGTAAAAACCTTCTAGTTCTTAATGCATGTTTTTGTTTTTATTAGTATTCTTTAAAATTATAATCAAAAAATTTTATTTATAATATAATAGAAATATGATTCTATACGAAAATCTCATTGACTTGTACTATTAAATAAAAAAATTTTGCAATTGATTGAACTTGACATGATGAACAAATAAACAAACAGTTAATGTATCTGTCATTTTAAATAAAATCTCATTGATAAAACATGTTATAAACATAATAAATTTTGAACTTATGTTTGATAAACATATTGTTTCACTATAGAAAAAAAAACTAAAATCTATTATATTCAAAATATTATACATTCATTAATGATTAACTATATTTTTTTAAAATAATTTTCGATATATAGAGAAATATTACTTTTAAAGAAAAAAAAATTAGATTTATCATATCAGAATCAATATTAATATCTAAATATTAAAATTATTATGAATTAATGCTAATACTAATGTTGATTCTAATACAACGCCATAAACCATGAGTTACATGTTTTATGAATGCTAGTCACGTTTCATAATAATAAAAGTACATTTGTTAAACAATGAATTTGATTTTCGATAATAAATAATCTATGCAGAATCTTATATGTATCATTTTTCATAGAAATTATAATTAAAACAAATAAACACTGAAAAGAAATTTCATTCTTAAAGGATATTAAGATAAATTACAATTACACTAACTTTTCGAAATAATTAATTCAAATCAGATTTATTTAGTTATAATAAAAATTTTAACAAGATAAATATATTACATATAAAACATGATTCTAGTTACTATTATATTTGTATTCAAATAATAATTTTTTTTTTTAAACAGAGGATGATCCTGATAATACAGTTTCAATAATGCTTGATGGTATTGAATCTCGTTTACATATTATTAATATTGATGTTGATCTTGTATGTATAAAAATTTGATTATAAAAGAAAATAAAAATAAATTATTTAGATAAAATGTAGTGTTACTGGTGATGCATATATAGTCGTATATTCAATAACTGATCGTCAATCATTTCAAACAGCAATTCAATTAATAAAAAATATTCGTGAAAAAGAATTATCAAATAATGAAAAAACAATAAAACGTTATATACCAATTATTTTAGTTGGAAATAAATCAGATCTTGTACGAAAACGTGCTGTAACAAAAGAAAGTAAGTTTAAAATATTCAACATAAAAAAAAAGATTTTTTTTTTGTGTTTTATTTTAGCTGCTCGTAATGCAGCATTTCGATATGATTGTAAATTTGTTGAAACATCAGTAGCAATTAATGATAAAGTTGATGATTTACTTGCTGGTACATTAAAACAAATTCGTATAAGTGAACAACAACGTTTTGAAGAACGACGACGTTTAACTATATCAAATGGTACAACAGATGTTAATGATAATGAAAATGATAAATTAACTGGTTCATCAATGCGAAAAAGTTCAACTGTACCTAATCAAAGTTCTAAAAATATTTTTTCGAAATTTTTAAATGTTTTTCGACGAAAACCATCAAGATTACCAGTTGATGTAGAAAATTTATATGCAGGTATTCGATAAGAATCAAACATTATAAAATGTATATAAACTGAAAAACAAATGTATTTTTTATTTATGTGTATTGTTTTATGCATTGGAGAAGAAAAAAAAAAAAGAGAAGTTATTCTCCTACTGAACGACTAATATATAAATGCTAAAGTTTTTTTTTTTTTTTTTTTTTTGTTTTTGCTAAATTCGATTAAACCTTACGAATGTACAAATATAATTCAATTTCGAAATTGATAACAAGTAGTAAATATGTAAATAAATTTGTCTTATTACAAAGATTAATATCAAATTGATTCTTTTGTATAAAAGAACTTTGAAAGCTTATCTTTTGTTCGGTAACTAAAAGAAACAGTGAAATATATATATATATGTGTTAAAAACTATCCAATATATAAACTAATATTGAATATTATCTTCAAATTTTTAGATCAATTAAATTATTTCAATAGTTTATCGAATTTATTGAATATTTATGAATAAATCAAAATGGATATTATACTATATATGTTTTTTATAGACTAATAAAATTTCAAAAACTAAAAATTCTAACAATATGAATACATAAAGAAAGTATTCCTCGAGCAATCTTATTTTCATTTAATCGATGAATAGCATTCATTAATCACCTTGAGTTATAAAATGTTTTCTTATTCAATGAAAAGAAAATTAGCTAGAGCAGGTCATTTCTATTGAATTCTTATCTATTTATTATTTGTTCTCAGATTACTGACAAAAAAAATTGGTAATTCTACACGATAAACATTACTGATCTACTGTAGTACATAACAGTCTCTTTGCTAGAAGATCTCAAGTATTATAAATGTTGAAGACATGAAAATATTTGTGCACATATGTCGTCAACATTATAGATCAGAAACACAATTCTGCTTCGATTACTTCAGTACAAAAAGAATTATGATAGATGACATGTATTTTTGTATTAAGCTTTTTGACCTGAAAAGGACTGTGTACTCAATTTTGCACTACTTTTTATTAAATACATGATTAATTCTTAATGTTTTTGAGTAGAACTGGAGTTCAAATCTATGGATATTTCTGAATTTTCCATCTTATCAACACGATGATTATAGCTATGTCATTCCATATCAGTACACAGTTTGTTTATAAAACTTGTAGAAACTCATATCTAACTGTAATGATAGCTTTTCGAAACGCTTGAACTTCATTCATTAAATTACTACTGCATTCTCATGTCAAAAGGGCATGTGATGATTTTTCTCCACATCAATAATCACAGTAAACTGATCACAATGTTAAAGAGGATTGTTGAAGTTCAATGCAATTAGTTGTATGAATAGCTGAAATACAACGCTACATAATGAGCCGTTAGCTGATCTAAAAAGTTCATCTTTCTCGAAGTTATGAAGTTCAAAGGCGATATAGGTGTCATCATAATTCTCTTTGTACTTACATAATTGTGTCTCGGACCTACATTTTTGACGAAGTATATGCACACAATTTTTAAATCGTTTAGCACCTATAATAGTTGAAATTCTCTAGAGCAGAAACGTTTTGTCTACTACTCTAATTGATAAAAGTAAAGCAAAAATACTACAAAAAATATCGAGCGAGCACAAAGATTTCGTTTCTTTTTTTGTGTGTATTTCAACTGACCAACAATAAAAAATATTAATGCTTGTAATACGATGCAAAGCATAGCATTTATGTCGTCCATCATTGTTTTATTTCCTAGATCGCACGCATCAAAAGTTGTCATTTTCTATTGCGATGATCTTGACAATAAAAAATTAGAAATATTTTTTTGAAATGTAAGATGAAAATGTCGACACCATTCATTTTACAATTCTTCACTAATAACTTTAGTTGATCTCGACAAAAAGGCAAATTTTTGTGGGCTTTGTATTTTTTTTTGCGTTGCTAGGATGTTAAAATGAAAACAGTTTCAATATGATGTATATATGATTACAGTGATATTTCGATGTTTTAATATTTCTTTCTAATTGATCGCTTATAAATGCACACCGTTTTTGTATGTTCGCGTGTTTAAACAGTTTTTTTTTTACGGTAACATTATCAATGGAGAACAAATATTTTACTATGCGTTAAGCCTTTTCTTTTTTTATTCTAGATGTAAGAAGATTACACTAGATATGAACTTCATATTATTCCATAATGACAGAGTTTCTCTGCATTTTAGCCGCAAGGTCTGTCAATGTTGGGAGAATATTTCTCCAAGCAAGTGTAATGGAGAAGCAGTGAATTCATTTCAATGAGCATCACGGTTAAGTGAGATGACGAGAGTCAACATTTTTTTTTTCTTCATAGAAACATGTAGAGCATAATTTTTATAAGACACATGTCAAAGATCTAGTTCAGTTGAAAATGAAAAAATCTATAATAAGATCAAAAAGATTTTGAAATTGCTGTTTTTATAGATATTTTCAAAGAAAAAGGATGGGTTTATGTGTTGCATTTATAAGTAATCTATTAGAGATAAAACTTTAATGATCATGAAATGAAACTATAAAAATTTCATATAAATCGCTTGAATCATGAAAGAGATATTCAGATTTCTTTTTCGACCCTCATCTAGGTTAGTCAAGCTTAATTTTTCTCACAAACGTTAATTTCAATTAATTTTAAAGTTCATTCAATTGTTGTATTCAAGAAAAATGTATTTGTCAAATAATAGTTTCTTGAAAATAAAATGAAATTTATAAAAGATTTATTTTTATTTTGATATTTAATATTATTATTTGAGGATATGGGTGGGGAGTCATCATTTCAAATCATGTTATTCTGAATTTTAAATTATATTTATTACAATGAAAGAATTTTATATAGAACCAATTTTGAGTTATATATATATATATATAAAGGGAGATGAAATTCTACTTTGTTTATCTTTCTAAATCTATTTCGTAATGAGATATTTGTGACTTAGCTGGTAATAAATCATCAAACTAATGCTGAAAGATAATTGATTAAAACTATTAATATGATTAATGACATGTAAAAATTCGTATGCGAGTATTAAATGAATATTAATCAACGACTTAATAATAAATAATTAGATTAACACTTTGATGACATTGTGCTATCTGTTTTTCAGTCGAGAAAAAACGTGTTTTGTTGAA